GTGGCAGGGCTTGAAAACTATTACAGACTACAAAGGGAAGCACAGCCGCGAGCTGCCCAGTGACACAAGCCTACCAGACGAGCTAAACAACTTCTATGCTCGCTTCGAGGCAAGCAACACTGAAGCTTGCATGAGAGCACACGCTGTTCCGGATGACTATGTGATCACGCTCTCCGTAGTTGATGTGAGTAAGACTTTTAAGCAGGTCAACATTCACAAGGCCGCAGGGCCAGACGGATTACCAGGACGTGTACTCCGAGCATGTGCTGACCAACTGGCAAGTGTCTTCACTGACATTTTCAACATGTCCCTGACTGAGTCTGTAATACCAACATGTTTCAAGCAGACCACCATAGTCCCCGTGCCCAAAGACACTAAGATAACCTGCCTAAATGACTACAGACCCGTAGCCCTGACGTCTGTAGCCATGAAGTGCTTTGAAAGGCTGGTCATGGCTCACATCAACACTATTATCCCAGAAACCCTAGACATTTTTTACATTTTAAATTTTACATTCTAGACCCACTCCAATTTGCATTCCGCCCCAACAGATCCACAGATGATGCAATCTTTATTGTACTCCACACTGCCCTTTCCCACCTGGACAAGAGGAACACCTACGTGAGAATGCTATTCATTGACTACAGCTCAACGTTCAACACCATAGTGCCCTCAAAGCTCATCACTAAGCTAAGGATCCTGGGACTAAACACCTCCCTCTGCAACTGGATCCTGGACTTCCTGACGGGCCTCCCCCAGGTGGTATGGGTAGGTAACAACACATCTGCCACGCTGATCCTCAACACGGGGGCCCCTCAGTGGTGCGTGCTCAGTCCCCTCCTGTACTCCCTGTTCACCCATGACTGCATGGCCAGGCACGACTCCAACTCCATCATTAAGTTTGCCGACGACACAACAGTGGTAGGCCTGATCACCGACAACGATGAGACAGCCTATAGGGAAGAGGTCAGAGACCTGGCCGTGTGGTGCCAGGATAACAACCTCTCCCTCAACGTGACCAAGACAAAGGAGATGATTGTGGACTACAGGAAAAAAAAGAGGACTGAGCACGCCCCCATTCTCATCGACGGGGCTGTAGTGGAACTGGTTGAGAGCTTCAAGTTCCTTGGTGTCCACATCACCAACAAACTATCATGGTCCAAACACACCAAGACAGTCGTGAAGAGGGCACGACAAAGCCTATTCCCCTCAGGAGACTGAAAAGATTTGGCATGGGTCCTCAGATCCTACAGCTGCACCATCGAGAGCATCCTGACTGGTTTCATCACCGCCTGGTATGGCAACTGCTGGCCTTCGACCGCAAGGCACTACAGAGGGTAGTGCGTACGGCCCAGTACATCACTGTGGCCAAGCTTCCTGCCATCCAGGACCTCTATACCAGGCAGTGTCAGAGGAAGGCCATCAAAATTGTAAAAGACTCCAGCCACCCTAGTCATAGACTGTTCTCTCTGCTACCGCACGTCAAGCGATACCAGAGCACCAAGTCTAGGTCCAAAAGGCTTCTCAACAGCTTCTACCCCCAAGCCATAAGACTGCTTGAACAGCTAGTCATGGCTACCCGGACTATTTGCACTGCCCCCCCACTCCCACCCCATCTTTTTACGCTGCTGCTACTCTGTTAATTATTTATGAATAGTCACTTTAACTCTACCCACATGTACATATTACTTCAACTACCTCAACTAGCCGGTGCCCCCGCACATTCACTCTGCACCGGTACCCCCCTGTATATATAGCCTCCCTACTGTTATTTTATTTTACTTCTGCTCTTTTTTTCTCAACACTTTTTTGTTTAATTCTACTTTTTTATTTAAAATAAATGCACTGTTGGTTAAGGGCTGTAAGTAAGCATTTCACTGTAATGTCTGCACCTGTTGTATTCGGCGCATGTGGCCAATACAATTTGATTTGATTTGATTTGATAAGCCAGCCTACAGAGAGGAGGTGAGAGCCCTGGCAGAGTGTTTCCAGGAAAATAACCTCTTATGCATAGTCACTTTAACTCTACCCACATGTACATATTACCTCAACTACCTCAACTACCTCACTAGCCGGTGCCCCCGCACATTGACTCTGCACCGGTACCCCCCTGTATATATAGCCTCCCTACCTGCATTGTTGGTTAAGGGCTGTAAGTAAGCTTTTCACAGGTATGTCTACACCTGTTGTATTCGGCGCAGGTGGCAAATAACATTTGATTTTATTTGATTTTATTTAAAATATACTTCAGAGCTTAATTGTGTACTGTTAGTCAGAATGAAAAACAAATTGATATATTTTCAAGATAACAGCCATCAAGACAAATCTGCAAAGATATTTCACTTGGCCATCAGTACCCATTCAGAATAAAAAACGGTCCATGACGCCACTGCAAATAGCAATCTACACTCATAGAAAAAAGGGTTTTAAAAGGATTCTTTGGCTGTCTCCATAGGAGAACTCTTTTTGATTCCAGGTAGAACCCTTTCTGGTTCCAGGTATAACTCTTTTGGGTTCCATGTAAAACCCTCTGTGGAAAGGGTCCTTCATGGAACCCAAAAGGGTTCTACCTGGAACCAAAAACAGTTCTCCTATGGGGACGGCCGAATAACCTTTTTAGGTTCTAGATTGCACTTTTCTTTCTAAGAGTATAGACAACTGATAGGCTAAGTCCACTTTTTCTCCCCAACAGAATAAAAGTAGAAGTTAATCATCATCATGTTCACGTTTTAATATTCCTCTCCTCTATCAGCCTCAGTCTCCGTCCCTTTATCATTTTAACCACCCAGTCTAGCGAGCATTAGCTGTCTTCATTGCACCCATCACCTTTAAAACGCACCGTCGTGTTGGAGCGCATCCAGGCTGAACTTTTACTTTTTTTATTAGTTTGACACTGCAGGCCCTTGCAGACGTGTGTGTGTGTGTATGTATGTGTGTTCTCGCCCGTGTTTGTGTGTCTGTGTGCGCATGTGTGTGTTCCCGCCCATGTCTGTATGTGTTGCCCTCAGTCTATAATAACGAGGTGGGAGAGAACAGAAAGCCCTGAGCATCTGACTCTGGCTATCTTTAGCAGAGGAAGAGGAGGAGGCTGTCTTTAGTAGAGGAAGAGGAGGCTGTCTTTAGCAGAGGAAGAGGAGGAGGCTGTCCTTAGCAGAGGAAGAGGAGGAGGTTGTCTAGCAGAGAGAGAGGGGGAGGCTGTCCTTAGCAGAGGAAGAGGAGGAGGCAAACAACTCCTGGTTGTCTTCTCATTACAATCGGACAGAGACACTCCAAAGGATGCATAATTACACTCCAATCTTCCATGACTAAAACACAGTACGGTAATAAGGAGAGGGCACAGAGAAGTCTGAGTATTCCCTATATAGTGCACTACTTTTAGCCTAATAGTTTAGTATGTGGGTCTGATAGTAGCTGCTATGCAGTAAATATAAGCCGTAGTTTCTCCACAGAAGGACAAGCTCAAGGAACTCTGTCTCTGTTTGGGCTCAGCTTTGACTGTTCAACTTGCCAAAGCCTCCGCATTGCTACGCCTGCCAACCTTGAGACTCGAGATGCAGAAAATAATTTCAGAAGATGTCAGGGCAACTGAAGCATGTAAATAACTGCATTTCAACTGACAGCTCATTTGAATGAGGAATAGCTGACCTCTGGTGTTATCAGGGTCTGGGTGGGAAAAATAGAAAAGAGAGAGAGAAAATACCATACAGAGAGAGAAAATAGGCCCTACATGCAGAATGCTTACCAGAACGATGCATCAACGCATATCAAACTGTATCACAAGATGGCACCAACAGACATGGTCGCCCTGTTCCTAGCTCGTGGCGAACTTTGCAGTATTTCAATTTTTTGTGTTATTTCTTACATTATTTGTTCAGAACGTTCCTAGCATTATTACCTACAGACGAAAATAACTGGATATTAGATCAGCGGTCATTCACCAGCATTTCAACCAGAAATTAGACTTTCCTGAATTGGATCTTTTGTTCACTGTCTTTTTGGTAAGCAACTCCAGTGTAGATTTGGCCTTGTGTTTTAGGTTATTGTCCTGCTGAAAGGTGAATTCGTCTCCCAGTGTCTGGTGGACAGCAGACTGAACCAGGTTTTCCTCTAGGATTTTGCCTGTGTTTAGTTTATTTTTATCCTGAAAATCTCCCCAGTCCTTAACGATGACAAGCATACCCATAACATGATGCAGCCACCATTATGCTTGAAAATATGGAGAGTGGTAGACAGTAATGTGTTGTTTTGGATTTGCCCCAAACCTAACACTTTGTATTCAGAACGAAAGTGAATCGCGTTGCCACACTTCCTTCGTTTGACACTGCCAATCAGAAATAAGCTTTGTGTGTGTATGGAACATGTCTGGGATCTGTTATTTCAGCTCATGAAACATAGGACCAACACTTTACATGTTGTGCTTATATTTTTGTTCAGTATACTTCAAAATCTATGGCAAGACCTGAAAATGGTTGTCTAGCAATGATGAACAACCAATTTGACAGAGCTTGAAGAATTTTGAAAAGAATAATGGGCAAATGTTGACCAATCCAGGTGTGGAAAGCTCTTAAAGACTTACTCAGAAAGACTCACAGCTGTAATCGCTGCCAAAGGTGCTTCTACAAAGTACTGACTCAGGGGTGTGAGTACTTATACAAATTCGATTTCTGTATTTAATTTGGAATATATTTGCAAAAATGTCTAAAAACACATTTTCACTTTGTCATTATGGGTTATTGTGTGTAGATGAGTGAGACAAAAATATATTCACTCCATTTTGAATTCAGGTTGTAACACAACAAAATGTGGAATAGGTCAAGTGGTATGAATACTTTCTGAAGGCGCTGTATAGAGAGAGAGAGAGAGAGAGAGAGAGAGAGAGAGAGAGACTAAATCAATTTTTCTTATCCACAGCACTGAGACAACAACTTGCCATCCACTCAAGGCTGATGAGAGGAAAGCCGAGGCAGAAGACACCAAGTTGGACACAACCACAGACAGAAATGGATGCATTAGAGACATGGGACGACGCAAACAAGGCAGCTATCATCGGACACAGCGGTGAGTGCCTATGTCTAAATGTTCAGCCCTTTCCACTTCTCTTTCTAATAGTAAAGAAATGAACAAAGCCTTTGAAGGTGAACAGTCTTTGTAGATAAGTAGGTTTGAGAATTTAACATTTGACTTCCACTTTTTCGCATGGTCTTTTCTAACACAAAGTTACCCAGCTTTCTTTGGCACGACTGTTCGAACAGACTTAGCGCGGACCGGAAGAAAGAACTCTCCAGGAAAAAGAAAGGCAGAGGGGTTTGTTTCAAGATTAACTCATGATGGGATTGTGGTAACGTACAGGAACTCACGTATAATGTCGACGTATACACTGACTCATGACTGGGTTCATCAGGAAGTGCATAGAGGATGTTGTTCCACCTGTGACGATTAGAACATATCCTAACCAAAAAACGTGGATAGATGGCAGCATTCGCGCAAAGCTGAAAGCACATACCACCGCATTTAACCATGGCAAGGTGACTGGGAACATGGACGTGTACAAACAAACCAGCTACGACTGTGGTGGGGGCACGCGTAGACAAGATGGCGTATTGAATAGAAAGCGCCTCAAGATAAAAACATAATATTCAAAATCAGTAAGTTAGACTAAATATTAGCATTTCATATATTCACAGTTAATATAATTCAATCTGGATAATAACACAAAACAGATCATAAGGCTAGAGAAATATATCGACAAATATTACAACAACACACAACACCCAAACATGACTGAAGATAAGCGTGGAGAGCCGATCCCCAAAAGGAAACGCGACTCATCGACTGATACAGATGATATATGCTTTTCATCACTGGGTATGGTAAGTGTGGAAAGCGACCTGTTGAAGTCGATAAATGACAAATTGGGCATACTAGAATTGGTCAGTAAAGACGTAAAAGAGTTGAAAGCGAGTCTTCAAATGAGTGACGAAAAAGCTTTGGTAATGGAGAAAGAAACCAAAAAATTTAAAGTGACAGTCTCTAAAATGGAAACGGACGTTAGGGAACTAAAAAAGGAGAAGAACCTTCTGAGAGAAGCCTTACTAGACATCCAAACTAGATCGATGAGGGAAAATATAGTACTTACGGGTATTCAGGAAAAGGAGGGAGAAATAACAGAGAATATTATGAAGGACTTCCTGCATACAGTGCTACAAATCCCATTCGAGGCTGTCGATAAAATCCAACTCGAACGTGTACACCGTTTCGGAAAAAGAGGACAGAAATATGAGCGCCCAATCATTGCCAAATTTGCTTTTTTTAAGGATAAAGCTATGGTGAAAAGCCTAGGAAAAAGACTTGCTGGCACGAAAATAGGCATGAATGATCAGTTCCCGAGGGAGATTGTAGAAAGGCGCAAAGTTCTGTATCCAATCTTCAAGGAAAACAGATTAAAAGGGAAACGTGTTGCACTCGTGGTGGATAAACTATATATTGACAACCAAATGTTCAGAGACACAAAGACTACTCCATGGCTATTCTAAAAGTTGTAATAGAGGAGTCGATTATTGGAGCACCTGATACTAGCAATGATAGGGATTGTAATATTAAATAACATTTATAGTAAGTATAGTATTTTATAAAAGGATCAAACGTATAATACATCTTTAAATACAAATAATTAGAACATGGCTTTTTTGGCGGGAGGTTGTTGTGGTTGGTCCTGTGTTCTCTCTGGCGTCCTTTCTCCCTTGCGGCAGATGTGGATGCGGGTGCATTTTTGTGTTTGAAAAGGTGCGGCGTTAAGTGAGTGAGAGGGGAAATGGTTGCATATCCCAGAGCCGACCGGGGGTCTATGAGCAGGGGTAGTGAGAGAGAGCTTTCAGTTTTGTGTAGATGAGGGATATACATTTTTAAATATAGTATACATCTAATCAAATTTTTCATTGTCCTATCATGATGGAAAGATCCCTAACCCTATAACCTGGATTATTTTAAACATGTTATTGGACCATAAACAGATATGGCTCATTAACCTTTACGGACCAAATAATGATGATCCACAATTCTTTGACAAAATATATAATAAATGATCAACCCTGCAAGCAATTCAAGACACTATTATTATGGTGGGGGATTATAATACTGTTTTAAATAGCTCAATGGACCGTAAATGAAATCACACCACAAACAATCACCCACATGCTCTTAAGGAAATTGTGAATGTCAACTAGTAGATATATGGAGGCTTAAATATACTGATCTAGTGAGATATACATGGCGGAGACTGAATCAAGCTAGTCGTCTTGACTTCTTTCTTATCTCATTCTCGTTGGCACCAAAAGTAAAAAAAGTGTTGATAGGGGACAGAATGCGGTCGGACCATCATATAATAGGCATATACATTACTCTTACTGAATTTCCATGTGGGCGAGGCTATTGGATGATAATTTATTTATAATTAGAACAAAGGAATTTATAACTGACTTTTTCCAACATAACATAGGTACAGCGAATCCCCTTATTGTATGGGACACCTTTAAATGTGCCTTTAGAGGCGATGCAATTCAGTACTCATCTCGAAAACAAAAGCAATTTAGGTCAAAAGAGTTTATACTAAGAAAGGAAATAGAAAGTCTAACAGAACAGATAGATGGCAATAAAAACTGTAACATAGAGGCTCAGAATAAATTAGAGGAAAAACAAAAAGAAATGGAGAAACTTATTCAGAAAGATCAAGTGTAATATATTATAAAAATAAAGCAAACTGGATGGAATATGGGGAAAAATGCACAAAATTCTTTTTTAATCTTCAACATAGGAATGCTACCAAAAATAACTTAATGAAACTGGTTACAATTGACGGAGTCACCCATAATTCAGCAAATTATATTTTGAAGGAAGAAATAAAGTACTTTAAGCATATGTTTTCTTTTCAGTCGCCTCCATCTCCTCTAACTGAAGCTAATTGTAGAGATGTTTTTTTCTATTGATAATGTCAAATTAACAGCCACACAGAAAGACTCATGTGAAGGTGAAATTACAGAGGAGGAACTTCTGGATGCAATTAAAGACTTTAAGTCTGGGAAAACCCAAGGGTTGGATGGCATACCAGTCGAGGTATACCAAACCTTTTTTGATATACTAAGAGGACCGTTATTAGCATGTTTTAACCACTCCTATGTAAATGGTAGATTATCTGACACTCAAGAAGAAGGTCTGATCTCATTATTACTGAAACAGGATACAAGTGGAAAATATAAAGATCCAGTCCATTTACAAAATTGGAGGCCCCTTACACTTCAGTGTTGTGATGCAAAAATCCTAGCAAAATGTATAGCATATAGAATTAAAAAGGTATTGTCGGATATTATTCATTCTAATCAGACAGGTTTTTTACATGGAAGATACATTGGAGATAATATAAGACAAGTATTGGAAACAATATAACACTATGGAAAATATGGGAAACCAGGCCTGCTATTCATAGCAGACTTCGAAAAGGCATTTGATAAAGTTCGACTGGGGTTTATATATAAATGCCTGGAGCATTTCAATTTTGGAGAATATCTTATAAAATGGGTCAAAATCATGTATAGTAACCCTAGGTGTAAAATAGTAAATAATGGCTATTTCTCAGAAAGTTTTAAACTGTCAAGAGGAGTGAAACAAGGTTGTCCACTATCGGCATATCTATTTATTGTGGCCATCGAGATGTTAGCTATTAAAATCAGATCCAATAATAATATCAGAGGATTAGAAATCCAGGGCTTAAAAACAAAGGTGTCATAGTATGCTGATGATTCATGTTTTCTTTTAAATCCACAACTAGAATCCCTCCACAGCCTCATAGAGGATCTAGATACATTTTCTAACCTCTCTGGATTACAACCAAATTATGACAAATGTACTATATTATGTATTGGATCACTAAAAAATACAATTTTTACATTACCATGTAGTTTACCAATAAAATGGTCTGATGGTGATGTGGATATACTCGGAATACATATCCCAAAGGAAATAAATGATCTCACTTCAATGAATTTTAATAGAAAGTTAGCAAAAATAGATAAGATCTTACTACCATGGAAAGGAAAATACCTTTCTATTTGTGGAAAAATCACCCTGATTAACTCTTTAGTATTATCCCAGTTTACCTATTTGCTTATGGTCTTGCCTACGCCTAGCGAACAGTTTTTTAAATTATATGAGAAAAAAACATTCAATTTTATTTGGAACGGCAAGCCAGACAAAATTAAAAGGGCATATTTATATAATGAATATGAACACTGGCAAGTGTCTTTATTAAATATTAAAGCATTAGACCTATCACTAAAAGCTTCAGTCATACAAAAGTTATACTTAAACCCGAACTGGTTCTCAAGCAAATTAGTAAGATTGTCTCACCCAATGTTCAAGAATGGCCTTTTTCCCTTTATTCAGATTACAACAACTCATTTGCAGTTATTTGAAAAGGAAATAATCTCCCAAATATCACTATTTCTAAAACAAGCCATAGAAAGTTGGTTGCAATTTCAATTTAATCCTCCAGAAACGACAGAATGTTTAAAAAAGGTATAATCTTCGTAAATGATATCATCGGTCGGACTGGTGGAGTTATGTCGCACATGCAGCTAACAAAAACATATGGAAATGTCTGCTCTACCCAAAATTACAACCAAATAATTGCAGCCTTACCGCAAAAGTGGAAGAGGAAAGTGGAAGGGGGAGAAAGTAAGGAACTTGTCTGTCGGCCTTGCATTAAAGAACATAATTGGTTAAGGAAAACTGTGATAAATAAAAAAAGTATATCAGTTTCATCACTTAAGGACCAAAGGATTGACAGCCGTCCCATATAGATTGCAAAATAGTTGGAAAGAGATCTTTGACGTACCGATCCCATGGCATAGTGTTTATGAACTGACACGCAAAACGACACCGGATTCAAAAATTAGAATCTTTCAATTAAAATTATTATATAAAATTCTTGCTACCAATAGAATGTTATTTATATGGGGATACAATCTTCCCAGCTCTGCAGATTTTGCTGTTAAGAGACAGAATCATTAGATCATTTTTGTTTTGGTTCTGTCCATTTGTAGCTTGTTTTTGGACACAGGTCCAGGAATGGCTAAAGGATTACAATATTTACCTGGAGCTAACTTTGCAGATAGCATTACTGGGTGATCTGAAAAGTCATAGTCAATCGATCAATAATATAATAATACTTTTAGCAAAAATGTTTATTTTTTATTCACAATCTGTAGAAGCAATGAGAATAGAAAGGTTCAAAACTTTTGTAAAACATCACAGTACGGTTGAAATATATATGGCAAATAGAAATCCTATATGGATGGTGTTAAGAGATAGATGGGAGCTATTGAATAGAGTTGAAGGATGGGACTAATAACAAATAACAACAAATAATAACAAAGATAGCTAATAATGTAAGCATACTGTGTCCATAATAAGTATATACAGTGGGGGAAAAAAGTATTTAGTCAGCCACCAATTGTGCAAGTTCTCCCACTTAAAAAGATGAGAGAGGCCTGTAATTTTCATCATAGGTACACGTCAACTACGACAGACAAATTGAGGGGAAACAATCCAGAAAATCACATTGTAGGATTTTTAATGAATTTATTTGCAAATTATGGTGGAAAATAAGTATTTGGTCACCTACAAACAAGCAAGATTTCTGGCTCTCACAGACCTGTTACTTCTTCTTTAAGAGGCTCCTCTGTCCTCCACTCGTTACCTGTATTAATGGCACCTGTTTGAACTTGTTATCAGTATAAAAGACACCTGTCCACAACCTCAAACAGTCACACTCCAAACTCCACTATGGCCAAGACCAAAGAGCTGTCAAAGGACACCAGAAACAAAATTGTAGACCTGCACCAGGCTGGGAAGACTGAATCTGCAATAGGTAAGCAGCTTGGTTTGAAGAAATCAACTGTGGGAGCAATTATTAGGAAATGGAAGACATACAAGACCACTGATAATCTCCCTCGATCTGGGGCTCTATGCAAGATCTCACCCCGTGGGGTCAAAATGATCACAAGAACGGTGAGCAAAAATCCCAGAACCACACGGGGGGACCTAGTGAATGACCTGCAGAGAGCTGGGACCAAAGTAACAAAGCCTACCATCAGTAACACACTACGCCGCCAGGGACTCAAATCCTGCAGTGCCAGACGTGTCCCCCTGCTTAAGCCAGTACATGTCCAGGCCCATCTGAAGTTTGCTAGAGTGCATTTGGATGATCCAGAAGAGGATTGGGAGAATGTCATATGGTCAGATGAAACCAAAATATAACTTTTTGGTAAAAACTCAACTCGTCGTGTTTGGAGGACAAAGAATGCTGAGTTGCATCCAAAGAACACCATACCTACTGTGAAGCATGGGGGTGGAAACATCATGCTTTGGGGCTGTTTTTCTGCAAAGGGACCAGGACGACTGATCCGTGTAAAGGAAAGAATGAATGGGTCCATGTATCGTGAGATTTTGAGTGAAAACCTCCTTCCATCAGCAAGGGCATTGAAGATGAAACGTGGCTGGGTCTTTCAGCATGACAATGATCCCAAACACACCGCCCGGGCAACGAAGGAGTGGCTTCGTAAGAAGCATTTCAAGGTCCTGGAGTGGCCTAGCCAGTCTCCAGATCTCAACCCCATAGAAAATCTTTGGAGGGAGTTGAAAGTCTGTGTTGCCCAGCGACAGCCCCAAAACATCACTGCTCTAGAGGAGATCTGCATGGAGGAATGGGCCAAAATACTAGCAACAGTGTGTGAAAACCTTGTGAAGACTTACAGAAAACGTTTGTGTCATTGCCAACAAAGGGTATATAACAAAGTATTGAGAAACTTTTGTTATTGACCAAATACTTATTTTCCACCATAATTTGCAAATAAATTCATAAAAAATCCTACAATGTGATTTTCTGGATTTTTTTTCTCATTTTGTCTGTCATAGTTGACGTGTACCTATGATGAAAATTACAGGCCTCTCTCATCTTTTTAAGTGGGAGAACTTGCACAATTGGTGGCTGACTAAATACATTTTTTCCCCACTGTAGGTTGTATGTTGGGAGCTTTTGGGAAAGAGCACAGTTAGAAAGATATGGCATATAGAAGCAAACCGGATGGACATCATGAAAATGATCGGAGAGGTTGAGAGTAGAAGAAGTTCAGGAGCAAAACATTTTTTTATATATATATAGAATATAATTATTGTAAAATTAACTGTGTCCATATGGTGTAGAAAGTAAGTATAGACCGGAAGTAGAGGCCTGGGCATTGTTGTTCAATAATTTACTCCAAGTAGGGAAAGGATGGCAGGGTTGAAAAGTAATAAAGGGGAGTATATATATAAAAAACATGGGGGATTGGAAGTGATGCAGACAATTACATTGATAGAAGATACAATCTATCTGCAATATTAAGCTGATCCACCCCCCCCCCCCCCCCCAAAAAAAAAAAAAAAAAAAAACAAACAAAAAAAACAGCTACGACCTCCGTAAGGCAATCAAAGAGGCAAAATGACAGTACAGATACAAAGTGGAGTCGCAATTCAATGGCTCAGACAGGAGACGTACACTACCGGTCAAAAGTTTTAGAACACCTACTCATTCAAGAGTTTTTCTTTATTTTTACTATTTTCTACATTGTAGAATAATAGTGAAGACATCAAAACTATGAAATAACACATTTTTGGTTACTAGCCAGCCACATGGCTGGGCGATATGGCCAAAATATAATTTCACTTTATTTTTTTTAAACATTGGACGGTATGACAGTAAAGTTCTAAATGTTCTTCATGAGTAGTGTGTGACCCTAGGGTGGCAACAATTACATTATATGTGATTTCAAATGGGTCTTTCTCCATTCTGATTGTTTTATACTGTTCAATTGAACTTAAACCCAATTTTCTGCATTTTCATAAATTTCTGCATTTCCTGCACTCATTTGAGATCATTTCCACACTGCCACTTACGGCTGCACGATATTGGCAAACAATCTAGGCCCAATTTTTAACCAAATGTTGCAATTGCGATTTGACTTGTGATTTAGAGCAAAATACTTGGGTGAACTGTTGGAATCATGGAAATAGAATGATTATTCTAATTCTATAGTTAGAATATAATAGTGGGCAATTTGAATAGTGTTGTTTGACATGACAACAAATAAAAATGCCAGGGAGGAGTTTTTGTGACAGTGTAGGAACCAAAGTGTTGACAAGTGTTTCCTAGGCTAGGGGACCCTATAATCTTTGGCTACATTGAATGTTTTCTCTTAGCTACTTCATGTAGCTAACATATTCTTGCTTTGGGTATTCCTCTTTGATTTAGAAGATACTGTGGCACAAACAACATGCTGATTTAGGTCAACACCATCACTGGTAATATCAGGCTGTATAGCTAATTACGTTTTCTCCGACTCAGTCCATTTATTAGCTAGCTAGCGATTAGCATTAGTGGCTAACAATTAGCGGCTTACAAGATTTAGGCCCAACTTGCTAAGACAAGAAAAACTAGCTGTTTGCAGATGTAAGAAACACGAACTAATAGTGTAATTATAGAACACTATTGGATTTATATTACGAAGCAAAGTGAAAACAGCATCGTTGTCATCAACATTGTTGCATGCGCTGCATTGACCATGCAGACTGAATGCAAGTGTCTCGTGGTCGAGGAACAACAAATGTGCTCCTTGAGTAACAGGGGGCAGGGCTAGGTCTGTGTGGAAAGTGGCATGGAGAGAGAGCTGAGAGAGATGACTGAAGTAGCAAAGTATACTATAAAAATGGACATTACACACGCCGTATCACATTTAACAAACCAAACATTCAAATACCGTTATAGAAGGTAAAGTAAAAACCCAAACCGGTCCGTGCATCAATACCGGTATATTGTAAAATATATCTATGCATAGTCACTTTAATAACTCTACCTACATGTACATATTACCTCAATTACCTTGACTAACCGATGCCCCCGCACATTGACTCAGTATCGGTACCCCCTGTATATAGCCTCACTAGTGTTATTTTTACTGCTGCTCTTTAATTATTTGTTACTTTTATTTCATATTATTTCATATTGTATTTTTTTGTGTGATTTTTTTTGGTATTCTTTCTTAAAACTGCATTGTTGGTTAAGGACTTGTAAGTAAGCATTTCACCTGTTGTATTCGGCGCATGTGACAAATACAATTGGATTTGATTTAATTTAAATGATTATCGTACTTCTGTCATCATGAAGTGCTTTGAGAGTCTAGTTAAGGACCATATCACCTCCACCGACACCCTTGACCCACTACAATTCGCATATCGCCCCAACAGATCCACGGACGACACAGTCACCATTGCACTGCACACTGCCCTATCCCACCTGGAAAAGAGAAATACCTATGAGAAATACCTATGTAAGAACGCTGTTCATCGACTACAGCTCAGCCTTCAACACCATAGTGCCCTCCAAGCTCATCACTAAGCTCAGGGCCCTGGGTCTGAACCCCTTCTTGTGCAACTTGGTCCTGGACTTCCTGACGGGGCGACCCAAAGTGGTGAAAGTAGGTAACAACACCTCTGCTACGCTGATCCTCAACAAAGGGGCCCCACAGGGGTGCATGCTCAGCCCCCTCCTGTACTCCCTGTTCACCCATGACTGTGTGGTCAACTCAATCATCAAGTTTGCTGAAGACACAACAGAGGTAGGCCTGATTGTCAACAACGATTTTTAAGCAGGTCAACATTCACAAGGCCGCAGGGCCAGACGGATTACCAGGACGTGTACTCCGAGCATGTGCTGACCAACTGGCAAGTGTCTTCACTGACATTTTCAACATGTCCCTGACTGAGTCTGTAATACCAACATGTTTCAAACAGACCACCATAGTCCCTGTGCCCAAGGACTCTAAGATAACCTGCCTAAATGACTACCGACCCGTAGCACTGACGTCTGTAGCCATGAAGTGCTTTGAAAGGCTGGTCATGGCTCACATCAACACCATTATCCCAGAAACCCTAGACCCACTCCAATTTGCATACCGCCCCAACTCACCCACTGGTGAGCCAGGCCCAGCCAATCAGAATTAGTTTTTCCCCACAAATGGGCTTTATTACAGACAGAAATACTCCTCAGCACCCTCCTTAGATGATCCCGCAGGTGAAGAAGCCGGATGTGGAGGTCCTGGGCTGGCGTGGTTACACGTGGTCTGTGGTTGTGAGGCTGGTTGGATGTACTGGCAAATTCTTTAAAACGACGTTGGAGGTGACTTATGGTAGAAAAATTAACATTAAATTATCTGGCAACAGCTCTGTTGGACATTCCTGCAGTCAGCATGCCAATTGCAAGCTCCTTCAAAATTTGAGAGAAATAAGCTTTTGTGCGTATGGAACATTTCTGGGATGTTTTATTTCAGCTAATGAAACATGGGACCAACACTTTACATGTTGCGTTTATATTTTTGTTCAGTATTCTAGTCATGGCTCATCGTATATTACTTATTTTTTTATTTTTCGGATTATGTGTGTTTTTTAAATGTATTGCTATATGTGCAAAACTGTCATCAAGGCAAAGGGTGGCTATTTGAAGAATATCAAATATAAAATATATTTAGATTTGTTTAACCCTTTTTTGGTTACTACATGATTCCATATGTGTTATTTCATAGTTTTGATGTCTTCACTATTATTCTATAATGTAAAAAATAGTAAAAAATAAAGGAAAACCCTTGAATGAGTAGGTGTGTCCAAAGTTTTGACTGTTACTGTGTATTTTTATGAAAACCTTGCCCTGCCTGTGTTCGCTGAGAGCCCTGTTGCATCACAGCGTGATGCTTAGAGCTACTCAGACGCTGTTAGAGACTACGTGTGTTTACAGTTTTCAGGGACGATGCTAATTTGTAAATCAACAGTGTTTTAACTGCTCTGTTTTGACGGCTCTGATTACACATTTTAAATGTGTCATCATACATACATACACAAAGTGCTCTGCCAGCAACAAAAATGTAGACAATAGCTGCATTCACTAGTACAAGTGCATGTGTGTGTTTGTGTGGGCAGGCGGGCAGGCATGTACTGAATGCATACTGTACGTGCCTGTTTGTGTGTATGTGGGTGTGTACCTTTCTGTACTGTGTGCATGACAAACCTGTGACTGCTCTCTCTCTCTCTCAGCATCACTTTGCTTGCCAGACATATTTACGCCTCAGCCACCAGTGACATAAACACACAGCGAGTCCTACCCAATTGATCTCCTCCAGACACCCTCTCCAATTTTTCATATAATGCTCATTTTCTACCTCATTATAGAAACCAATGCAAAGCTGTCCAAATGAATTGCAGTTACAACGCCCTTTCCTGCACATCTCTCTGTTTCTTTCTCGCTCTCACACTCTTTTTGTCTCACTTACTCTCTCTCTTCCTCGCTCCCACCAGTCTGTGTTGCTTCAAAGGGCCTCATCGCCCCGACGCATCAGGCATTTGCTTAGAGAAAATTAAGTGGACCTTTCAGGAGCAGTCATCCTGAGAAACAGATGGGCTTCGACAAGAGTTACATCTCTATATTGACAAATTAACATGCTCCGGTTGGAAAGGCAATGTCTGCGTGGGGGGACACTACCTGACTGAGACAATTCCCCCCCCCCCCCCCCCAAAAAAAAGAGAGAGAGAGAGAGGAGAGAGAGAGAGAGAGAGAGAGAGAGAGAGAGAGAGAGAGAGAGAAAGAGAGAATGGAGCAGAAAACCTCCCAGCCTTGCTTTGGCAATGTAAACACGTTTCCCATGCCAATAAAGAGAGAAACTGGTGAGAGCCTGTGCCATACTTGTAAGGTCTAAGCAGGAATGCAAAGCTGAAAATCGAACAGGGCTACGTGTGCACTACTTCCTGATCTAATTGCTGTGAAGTTAGCTGAGGACCCTGGCTGTTGTAAAGCTGTAGCAGCCCGTTCGCTGCCTCCCTTTTTGATTATGTGCGACTGGTCTTGACTGCTGATGCTCGTCAGTGGCCAACAACTTGACTTTAAGACAATCAGAGAGCACGAACCCCCACTTGGAGGAGCCAACAAAAAAAAATATAGAAAATAAGAGGGCATTTACACTTCATACGCAATGTAGGCTATGGGATGGTAGCTAGCTAAGAGCACAGACACAATGCACACAACACTAAATCCTTCCTCCAAGCTAGCTAACCACTGTAGCTAGTATTGACATTATAATTAAATCACAATGGAGTAGCTAGTTTCCATGAAACAGCTGCCTGTGTTAGCTGCTGCGTTAGTGCAGTGTCTTAGCTGTCTAGCTAGCTATTACATTTACATTTTAGTCATTTAGCAGACGCTCTTATCCAGAGCGACTTACAGGAGCAATTAGGGTTAAGTGCCTTGCTCAAGGGCACATCGACAGATTTTTCACCTAGTCGGCTCGGGGATTAGAACCAGCGACCTTTCGGTTACTGGCACAACACTCTTAACCGCTAAGCTACCTGCCGCCCCAGCTATGTTGTGCAAGCTAGCAAATATGCTCATGTTAGCTAGCTAGCTAAACATTTGGCTATGGGCTGGCACTGGCAGTATGTGATTATGGACATTGAATTAAATGGTTTCTTCGTCATCTTGCTAGGTAGTTAGCTGTGGCCATCTGGCTAGCATCTACAAGGGCTTTCTACAAAATAGATACAGCTCAGACAGCTTGGAATCTAGACCATAAGCAATACGAATGGATATGCATTGCCAAACAACGCTGCTGCCACGTTCTGGTTTGGAGTATTTTAACAAGGCTGAGTGGCTGACGACTTCAAGGACTTTGCTGTGTGAACACAAAAGAGATTGACTGCCAACACTGTTCAGAGGTGCTAAGTACTGTCGGTAGGCAAACTTTGACAATCCTACTGGTGTGTCTGAGCTTTAAGAGAACATTTATCCTACATTTTTTGTCAGTTGGTCATGTTGTTACTTTTTTTCCTGGGGAGACAGTTGTCAATGATTAAAATTACTTGATTTTATAGTCATTCCTGTATGTCCCAAATATAGTTGATCGGCAATGCTGTCAGCACACAGAGTCCCTATATATAGGTGTCTCATTCAGTACTGCAGAAACCTTAGTCTCCCTGAGGAGAACAAATCAGTAACCCTGTTCATCCCCGTCTCTCTCCTGTTGCAGTGTGTTGTTTGATGACGATCTCTCCCCTCGGCCCCACGCTTCCAAGGGGAAGAAGAAGAGGAGGAAATCGGAGCGAAAGAGGAAGAGGAAAAGGTCAGTTCATGAATGAAACCAGCACTCTGGTGGCCTGGTGCGATGGGTCTTCAAACTGTTCTCTGAGCAAATTGAAATCGTAGACAGCACACAGAGAGAGAGGGAAATTATTGGCTTTGATAGAAGAGAAGCCACTGCTTTTAGATAATGGTGTGTGTGTGTGGTCATAATGTTTTTTGGTGGTTTCTGTCATAGGTCTCCGTACTATAGTCTGTCTCCAGTGAGGAAGAAGAAAAAGAAGAAGAAGAAGAGCTCCAAGAAAAGCAAACGCCACGGGTAGCTACTTCCTATATCATGTTATAATGTGAAACTCAACAGGTAGCTACTTCCTGAATCATGTCATAATATGAAACTCCACAGGTAACTATTTCCTGTATCATGTCATAATGTGAAACGCCACAGGTAGCTACTTCCTGTATTATGTCATAATATGAAACGCCACAGGTAGCTACTTCCTGTATCATGTCATAATGTGAAACGCCACAGGTAGCTACTTCCTGTATCCTGTCATAATGTGAAACACCACAGGTAGCTACTTCCTGTATCATGTCATAATGTGAAACATCACCAAGATCAGTATTGAAATGAGTTACTTTGACGATAATGTCTTTCACCAGAAGACACCATATGGGTCTGACTCGCAAGATTACTTTGGCAATAACTCAAAAATATATTATAGACTTTATATTATACTCCAACCGATCTATTACATCACTACTGTATGACGTTGGAGAGCAGTGGCTGAGTTAGTTTTAATAGCAGGCCTCTCCTGAGAACTAGTGAAAGTGTCAGCAACAACAATAACCAATTTGTTTTTATTTTCCAGGTACACCTCTAAAAAGACAAAGCACAGCTCTTCTAGTTTGAAACATAAGAGGAAGGATGATCGAAAACACAAGAAAAGGTTGGTCAATGTGATTTTTCATCAATTCAGGAACATATATATTTCAATCATTGTACATTTGCAAGCACAGGACATTTTCCACAGCCCAATCTCTCTTCTAGCTATCCTTCTCCCTCTCCTGCTGGTCTAAGCCAGTGGTTCCCAACCAGGGGTACTAGGACCCATGGGGGTACTTGGCCTATCCACAGGGGGTACTTGAGAAGCCTCATGAGACCATAGGCCTACTGGTAAAATACACATGAGGGGGTACTTCAGGGAGACTCCGGGCAGAGCAGAATTCAGTTGGTGGTACAGTAAACGAAAAAGGTTGGGAACCACTGTAGTAACCTCTTCTCGCTTATTTCTCTTATAGGAGAGGAGAAGGCAAGAGGAGAAGGAGAAGAGAGGAGAGGAGAGGAGAGGAGAGGAGAGGAGAGGAGAGGAGAGGAGAGAGACAGGAGAGGAGAGGAGAGGAGGGAGAGGATAGGAGAGGAGAAGGATAGGAGGGAGTGGAGGATATGTATAGGATAGGAGAGGAGGGAGTAGGGGCGTAGTCTCGTCTCTTCTCGACTATCCTATCATATAAGAACTCTCCATCCTCTCCTCTCTCCAATCCTCTCTTTCCTCTCTCTCGTCTCGTCTCCTCTCTCTGCCTTTCTGTCTCCTTTTTTCTCTTCTCCTCCCTCGTCGTCCTTTTCCCACTACTTTGTCTTCTTTATATAAAAATATATATTGATTTAATTTGGTGCCAGTTATCAGGGAAGTAGTATATACAGGTATAGGGGTAAGCAAGTCCAATATCCATCATGACAACGTTTGGCTATTTCTCCCTCACTAAGAAGATCCTCCTCCCCTCGTTTACTCTTCCAGCTCACAGAGCCACATGCACCGGAGACGACGCTACCGGAGGTCGGAGTCTGAGAGTTCCACCTTGCGCTCCTCCAGCACCGAGAGCAGGTAAGGCCCAGCCACTGAGACGCGCGCACACACACACACACACACACACACACACACACACACACACACACACACACACACACACACAGCGACGGAAACCCCCATTTATCTTTTCAGCCCCGGGCATCTGGACCGATCTGGTCTGGACTAGTCTGGTCTTGTCACGCCACAGTGGTGACTGATAGGCCAGTGGTGACTGATGGGCCAGAGGTGACTGATGGGCCAGAGGTGACTGATAGGCCAGAGCTGACTGATAGTCCAGTGGTGAGTGTGTGATCACAGGAACGATTAACAGTTGTAGTGGTAGCCCTCCTATCACAGCTTCATAGGAAACGCTGTCCACAGATCGATGCACCCTCAATTAGAATGACATACAGTGCCTTGCAAAAGTATTCATCCTCCTGTGTGCAATAGGCGTTTTTCCTATTTTGTAGTCCACCTGTGTGCAATCTAAGTGCCACATGATCTCAGTATATATACACCTGTTCTGAAAGGCCCCAGTCTGCAACACCACTAAGCAAGGGGCACCACCAAGGAGGGCATTAATCAGAGAGGCAACAAAGAGACCAAAGATAACCCTGAAAGAGCTGCAAAGCTCCACAGCGGAGATTGGAGTATCTGTCCATAGGACCACTTTAAGCTGTACGCTCCACAGAGCTGTGCTTTACTGAAGAGTGGCCAGAAAAAAGCCATTGCTTGAAGAAAAAAATAAGCAAACACGTTTGGTGTTCGCCAAATGCCATGTGGGAGACTCCCCAAACATATGGAAGAAGGTACTCTGGTCAGATGAGACTAAAATTGAGCTTTTTGGCCATCAAGGAAAACGCTATGTCTGGCACAAATCCAACACCTCTCATCACCCCGAGAACACCATCCCCACAGTGAAGCATGGTGGTGGCAGCATCATGCTGTGGGGATATTTTTAATCGGCAGGGACTGAGGAACTGGTCAGAATTGAAGGAATGATGAATGGCGCTAAATACAGGGAAATTCTTGAGGGAAACCTGTTTCAGTCTTCCAGAGATTTGAGACTGGGACGGAGGTTCACCTTCCAGCAGGACAATGACCCTAAGCATACTGTTAAAGCAACACTCAAGTGGTTTAAGGAGAAACAGTTAAATGTCTTGGAATGGCCTAGTCAAAGCCCAAACCTCAATCCAATTGAGAATGTGTGGTATGACTTAAAGATTGCTGTACATCAGCGGAACCCATCCAACTTGAAGGAGCTGGAGCAGTTTTGCCTTGAAGAATGGGCAGAAATCCCAGTGGCTAGATGTGCCAAGCTTATAGAGACATACCCCAAGAGACTTGCAGCTGCAATTGCTGCAAAAGGTGGCTCTACAAAGTATTGACTTTGGGAGGGTGAATAGTTATGCACGCTCAAGTTTTCTGTTTTTTTTGTCTTATTTCTTGTTTGTTTCACAATAACACATATTTTGCATCTTCAAAGTGGTAGGCATGTTGTGTAAATCAAATGATACAAACTCCAAAAAAAATTTTTATTCCAGGTTGTAAGGCAACAAAATAGGAAAAATGCCAAGGGGGGTGAATACTTCCGCAAGCCACCTTATGGCCAGAACAATGCGATCTGGCTCTTTTTGCAGTGTCACAGATATAGTTTGATGGATTTTGTGTTTAATTTTTTGAGTCAGTCTGGACTAGAGTTAGGATTTGAGGTGATGGGTTAGGTTAGGTTAAATTAGGTTATGTACTAAATCCATTGGGCCAGCAGTTAAGTTTCTGCAAAACTATTCCATTAGATAATCCTTCTCTAAGATTCAATATGCATTCTGACAACGTAGTCCCGTGTAGCTCAGTTGGTAGAGCATGGCGCCTGCAACGCCAGGGTTGTGGGTTTGTTTCCCACAGGGGGCCAGTATGAAAAATGTATGCACTCACTAACTGTGAGTTGCTCTGGATAAAAGCGTCTGCTGAATGACTAAAATGTAATGTAAATGTAAATAGACCATTTAATCTGCATCCTCAGAGACAGACAGCTCAATTATATTAGAACTCTCTCTAGTATCATTATATTAGACCTCTAGTATCATTATATTAGACCTCTAGTATCATTATATTAGACCTCTAGTATCATTATATTAGACCTCTAGTATCATTATATTAGACCTCTAGTGTCATTATATTAGACCTCTAGTATCATTATATTAGACCTCTCTTTGGTGTCACTTATCTGACATTTCATTCAGTTGTTAGTTTGTTCATTCATTCATTCTGTCTTTTCTCCAATTTACAGAGACGACAGAACCGAGCCCATGTTTCAAATTGAAATAATCTAAAGCCAGAGATGATTGCATTTAAATCCCTTCTGGATCTCTCGATTATTGGGAGTTTCCCTGGGATATTCACCAGAGAAAATCATTACTGAAATTGAACAGTGGCAGGCTTTATCCCGACCGACCGACTGCACTACACTGTAAAGGTGCCGAGAGTCTGTCTGCGTCCCAAATGAAACCATATACCATATAGCGCACTACATTTGAACAGCGGCGGTAGTGCACTATATAGGGAGTAGGGGGAAGACAACATAATTTTAAATACCCAGGTATTCCATACCAACTGCTCCCTAGACAACGATTATACACCAATTGCATTATGGAACGATATATTAATTCTGGAATTGTGTAATCGTCAAGCCTAGCCATAAAAACCCACTTAGTTCTCCGGCTCGTGTTCACACCACTAGCTCTAGTTTGAAATGTGAAATGCCACAGCTTGGCAAGGTTCTGTGTCTGTGTAAGTTCTCATTCCCCTAGCTCGGCTGGTTGACTGGTATCTGTGACAGTAGTGTCTGTCTGAGGGTCAGGCTATGTATCGAGCCGGTTTGTCTGAGCTCTGCCAAGATCACACACACACACACACACACACACACACACACACACACACAGACACACACACACACAGACACACACACACAGATCTGCAGGCATTAGTCTGTAAACAGCTGAGGGTTGATCCCTGTTTAGCGTTAGATGACATTTACTATGATGCTGCTGCCTGGTTCTCCTGTACAGTCTGGGCCGCATCCTGAGTTGGCTGCCTGTGTTCCCCCTGTCCCACCGCAGTTTTTCCGCTGTCACAAACTAGGCCACTGTTCAATCATAACCAGTTAGAAAGTCCTTCTGATGGCATTGTGAAATAACTTTAACTACAGCTGTTCAAACAGTAAACATTGTCCCAGTGATTACATTACCCCAAATATGTATTCTCCCAGCTGCACAATTAGTGCCATTTTGACTAAATGTTTTTTGTCCTATCCTGTCCTGAACAAGCACAGTCGGCAGTATATCTAGACGATTGTGGGCCAGAAAATGCTCTCAGCTGGCAAGCAAAGTTTGGACTGAATTGTAGACTTTGATGTAGTGACGTTTTTTCACTCCTTAATATTTGTGTCCACAGACATCATCTGCACAAATCAGTGGATCACCCTGCGTTGGGAGGCATAGCAGCCCTGAGGGAGGACCCTGGTACAGCACTGGACCACAGACGGTTTGAGTGGGAGCCGGCCGCCAATTCAGTGTGTAAAACAACTCCAGTCTTTGGCTCCGTCCTTTCTACCGGCACCGTAAGTGTTCCTCGGGACTCTGAGCCTTTACTAATGTTTCTCCCAGTGGTTTAGTTTGATTAAATCTATTAAGGTAAAACCTCCTGCTTCCTTGTCTGAAGCCCAACGTTCAGGTAACACATTTACATATAGAATATCAGATTGTTTAAAAGCTGGAACTCAAATCCTCTCTCAAGATCAAACTATTTTACAAACAACCTTCATCAGATATACTGTGAAACATTTCCAAATCTGTCATGGGTTTTACCAAAAGCCCTTTTTTTCCTATCAACATCTTCTTTAATCAAAGTCTTTGGGAATATAGTCTTTCCAATTCCTTCGAGGGGAAGATATTAAATCACTTTTGAATCCAACTTATTTTACATGGCCTGTCCGAATCATGTTGCTTTCTGACATATTTTTTTTTATGAACTCCTCATTTAGCAGTAATGTCATCTGTTCTTGTTTTTCTGTTTTATCTAACACCATTAAATAATCACAAGCTTAGCAGAAACAGCACCCGGGGAAATTGCTGGTGGTAGGCAGCTAATGATAATGTGCAGAGGATGCAGTCAAGCTGTTTTGTGAAAAGCTAATGGGCAAAGAATGAGTTGAAATTATCAGCACAATGACCGCTGGTAGGATTACAACACATACTGTAGCAGTTTATTTTGTCTTCAAATTCAGCTGTATTTCTTGAGCTCAACCATTTAAGCACTAGTTTTTTTCATCAAAACAATACTTTTTATCGACTGTTTATGGATTGCTATTGGCCCTACATTGTAGCAGTGTTAGAGACTTAAGTGATAGTGATCATTCAGATATTTCAGATCTAAAATAGTTGCAAGACTTAGCAATGTTGCAACAACTTACTTCTGAAAGTGGCGTTTCCTAGTTTCTTTATTACTAGAAATGTATTTGATTTTAAACACAGCTCAGCCCCGTTCGTTCGTTGACTCATTGTCTCATGCTCACTGAGGCGTGAGATACATTTAATTTCTCTCCAGTGATCATAAAATGATGCTAATTACGCCCCAGATGTTTTTCATCACAGACCACAGGGTTGGTAATTGAAATGCAATAAACTATAGGCCAACGTTGACGCATGCTTTGTATTCTAAACCCAAACCTTTTTTTCTGAGAGGATTATCTACAATTGGTTACCTACGTGGCAATATTACTACTTTTTTCACTTTGTGTTAATTTTCAAGGGTTTTAATTAAATTAACCGTCAATGATTAGTAGATTAGTCCTAATCTTAATACGGATATGGTAGTAATATTTTAAAAACTCATTCATTCTGGGGTATGTTTGATATTTCCTCCCAATCAAAGCAACCCACAAAGGGAAAGGTGGGTATGAACAGAACAAACACTGATTAACTCCCAGGTAGTTTGAATACCGAATATGCGGCAGATATTAAAACGGGTTCTCAACTGCAACATATCTCAAATGGACTTAACAAAATGGTGTGTGTGTGTGTGTGTGTGTGTGTGTGTTTAGGGGTGCTTTCAGTGCAACAGGTGGTTACTTTGAGTAACTAGTGTTCTGATTGCCAACAGAAGAACACTGACTATTAATTGAATCGATTCAAGAATATTCGTCAGTGGCCTGTGATGGGCGGTTTTGTTTTAATGTTTTCCCCGGGGTTTTCAGTCTTAGTTGTGGTCTGATGTTGCAGCCTGGGGATGGATTATCTGAAAAAGACTTAGAGAGGGCGGAGTTTAATCAATATACTATGAGTGATTTGCAATAGATAGGTAAAGAGAGATTATAATCTGTTTGGAAGGAAGGAATTTGGTTTAGCCAATAATTTGCTATCTCTTAGTTCTCTTCAGCAGGAAAAACATGTATATTATTCCTGTATAGTCCTTAGGGGCAGGGGTTTCAGAGTAAAACTAATTCACATACTTTAGTAAAAATAGAAATAAACTAGTTTACAAAACTGGTATGAATACCTATTCTAAAGTACATTAAGTTTGGCCTCACAGACGTGTAACGTGTATTCGAGATTGACTACACAATAAAAGCTTGTTATGGGCTTCTAGCCCCGAGAAAACTTTTTAACAATCTCAATTCTGGGAAGAAAAGGAACATGCCAATAACAGTAACTGGCTCTGGGTTTGAAGAGAGGGTTATTGTCTTTTTCTTGCAATTTACGACTCTAATGATGCACTTATGTTGCCCGCTCTTCCCTTTTCTTACACCTTACCTACTTAAGGAGGAAATCTTGATTGGTAAGTCGATGCTATCTGCAGACTTAGGGATTTACTGTACCTAGGGTTCGCTGCAGGCTAATTATTTTCTTCTTGCAGGGAAAAAAAAAGCACAATCTGTCCTATTCTGAGGCTTTCTAAGTTAGACTGATGGGATATCTCTGTCTGCAATCCTTTTCATTTCTACATAATACCCATTTTGTGATGTTTGATCAATGTTCTTTAAAACAGGCTTTGTAATGGGGCTATTGTTATATTCTTCCCTCTCTGTCTCACTCGACTTAGCTAAAGCCGTTGGTAGTTTTTACTCACACATTAGTAACTCTTCTTTATTTTCTGTTATTTTGTTCTTCCTTTCATATGTTTGTTTTAGTTAAGTTAATAAAAAAAGAAAAAAATGTGGTTCAGTTTAGATTTCTTTACAAGTTATTCGCATGACACAAATGTGCATGACGTCTTTAATCTTTTCAAGTTCTCTGTCCCTCCCCTCCCCCCCAAAATAAATAAATATATTCTCTGTGTTTTGAAGGGAAATACGTGCCTTTGTAGAGTATTCCCAATGCATCATACAGGTAGTTGCTTATTGAACTAAACAAAGAAGAAGAAAAAACATATCTGGAAGTAAAGCAACATCCTCTTTCTGTTTGTCTTGCAGTCAAATCTTGGCGGTGAGGTTTTAAACACAACAGTGATTCTCCGTCACACTCTGACCAATCAGAGCAAAGGGCCAAAGGATTACGATTCCGGGAATGACACGTCTTCCCCACCATCGACCAAAACCGGCATTTCACAGTCAAACGTCATCGGCGACAAAAAGGTCCTATGTCAAGCGTCGGCTTCACCGGAGAAACTGAAGTTTAGGGACGGAGACAACGCGTCTGACTCTGGGAACTCGATGACCAGCTATGCTTCCCTGTGTAAACCTCTGCATGTGGATGGTGGTTTGTCTACTCCTATTTTCAATGGGAACGGCAAGAGGTGAGCTTCCTATCCTTGAAGAATATTTTACTATAGATGATGAAAAGTGCTACTTGAAGTCAAGGACAAGAAATGTTCCTTGATTTACTTTTCCCTCAAAATGTAAGCCATACATAAGTGTAAGGAGGACATTTCCATATTTTCACAATTGCAGCAGACATTGATAAAACGTTGGTGTAATTCCACTCTTATCATTGCAGTGAGCCGGTGACAACCTCAGGATGGGGGGCCAAGGTGGAGAGACCTCAGAAGACTGCCTCCATCTCTCAGTTGAGGACGGTGGCCTCTTCACGTAAGAGGACTAAAGACAAGTCCCTACAGCAGCAGCAGCAGCAGAAGCAGGAGTAGATCGTCTGGGAGCTCCATACACTCTGGACGCTACTCTCGAAGCCGATCACTGTCAACTGCCAGGTTGGTTTCATTTAGGTTCTAATGTATTTCCCTGACACCTCCAGCAGCCACTTGAAATAATGTGGGCTTCGCTGAGCTCCGTTGAAGTAAATGTGTTGTGCTTTGTCTTAAGGTCATACTCCCGTTCACCGAGCTACTCAGCTGGTTTGAGAAGGAAACGAAGTGAAGACAGTGGGAGGTCCAGAGGAAGATACTCCAGATTAAGCGAAGACAGGTAAAAAAAAAGCTTTGCCCATCTACTCTTGCTCAGCTAATGACTTCTGGTACTACTACTAGCATAACGATAGCAGAATGTGCTAGTATGGTGGGTTTAAAATATATCCAAATTATAGAATTGCTAATGAGAGATGCCTTACGGTATGTCTTTTGCCATCTGACATTGGTAGTGTCCGAGAGAGGAAGAGGGACCCCAGCTCCTGTGAGAAGGATGTGAAACACAGCAGTCGGAGGCATAGACGTAGGTCCTACTCTCCCATGAGGAAAAGGAGGAGAGATTCACCCAGTCACCTGGAAGCCAGGAGGATAACCAGGTCTGCTATTCTCTTTTCAGCTGATACACTTTCACACATTTGTGACAGGCATGCTTTTATTCTTACATGTAACTATTTTATTTTACTTGGTATAAAGGTCTCTATAAAAGTCTCTCTTCTTTTAATCATGGACAATGGCCCCCAGTTTGCCTCAGAGACGTTTGTCGGACTGGGCTGTAAAAGGAAGGCAATAAACCTGATGAATTGTCTACTAGTCTAAACAAGCTGCAATGGATAAAGCGAGACAGCTACAGTGCATTCGGAAAGTATTCAGACCCCTTGACTTTTTCCACATTTTGTTACTTTACAGCCTTATTCTAAAATTGATTAAATTGTTTTTTCCCCCCTCATTAATATACACACAATACCCCATAATGACAAAGAAAAACATGTTTTTTAGAAATATTTGTTAATTTATAAAAATTAAGAAATGGAAATATCACATTTACATAAGTATTCAGAAACTTTACTCAGTACTTTGTTGAAGCACATTTTGCAGCAATTACAGCCTTGAGTCTTCTTGGGTATGACGCTACAAGCTTGGCACACCTGTATTTGGGGAGTTTCTCCCATTCTTCTCTGCAGATCCTCTCAAGCTCTGTCAGGTTGGATGGGGAGCGTCGCTGCACAGCTATTTTCAGGTCTCTCCAGAGATGTTCGATCAGGTTCAAGTCCGGGCTCTGGCTGGGCCACTCAAGGTCATTCAAAGACTTGTCCCGAAGCCACTCCTGCGTTGCCTTGGCTGTGTGCTTAGGGTCGTTGTCCTGTTGGAAGGTGAACCTTCACCCCCAGTCTGAGGTCCTGAGCGCTCTGCAGCGGGTTTTCATCAAGAATCTCGCTGTACTTTGCTCCGTTCATCTTTCCCTCGATCCTGACTAGTCTCCCAGTCCCTGCCGGTGAAAAACATCCCCACAGCATGATGCTGCCACCACCATGCTTCACCGTAGGGATGGTGCCAGGTTTCCTCCAGATGTGACGCTTGGCATTTAGGCCAAAGAGTTCGATCTTGGTTTCATCAGACCAGAGAATCTTGTTTCTCATGGTATGAGAGTCCTTTAGGTGCCTTTTGGCAAACTCCAAGTTGGCTGTCATGTGCCTTTTACTGAGGAGTGGCTTACGTCTGGCCATCCAACCATAAAGGCCTGATTGGTGGAGTGCTGCAGAGATGGTTGTCCTTCTGGAAGGTTCTCCCATCTCCACAGAGGAACTATGGAGCTCTGTCAGCGTGACTATCGGGTTCTTGGTCACCTCCCTGCTCCGTTTGACTGGGCGGCCAGCTCTAGGAAGAGTCTTGGTGGTTCCAAACTCCTTTCATTTAAGAATGATGGAAGCCACTGTGTTCTTGGGGACCTTCAATGCTGCAGAATCTTTTTGGTACCCTTCCCCAGATCTGTGCCTCGACACAATCCTGTCTCGGAGCTCTAAGGACAATTCCTTTGACCTCATGGCTTGGTTTTTGCTCAGACATGCACTGTCAACTGTGGGACCTTATATAGACAGGTGTGTGCCTTTCCAAATCATGTTCAATCAATTGAATTGACCACAGGTGGACTCCAATCAAGTTGTAAAAATATCTCAAGGATGATCAATGGAAACAGGATGCACCTGAGCTCAATTTCGTGTCTCATTGCAAAGGGTCTGAATACTTATGTAAATAAGGTATCTCAGTTTTTTAACGTTTTTATACATTTGCAAACATTTCTAAAAACCTGTTTTTGCTTTATCATTACGGGGTATTGTGTGTAGATTGATAAGGAAAATGTTTTATTTAATCCATTTTAGAATAAGGCTGTAATGTAACAAAATGTGGAAAAAGTCAAGGGGTCTGAATACTTTCATAATGCACTGTAAATGAAACAGTTGTGCTCATGATTATGCATTGAAATGTTCACAGCGTAATGTTGTTTCAAGGTCTGACAGCTATATCTAAAATAAGTTTCTAGCGTAATGTTGTTTCAAGGTGTGACAGTTATATCTAAAAGAATTTTCTAGCGTAATGTTGTTTCAAGGTGTGACAGCTATATCTAAAATAATTTTCTAGCGTAATGTTGTTTCAAGGTGTGACAGCTATATCTAAAATAAGTTTCTAGCGTAATGTTGTTTCAAGGTGTGACAGCTATATCTAAAATAAGTTTCTAGCGTAATGTTGTTTCAAGGTGTGACAGCTATATCTAAAAGAAGTTTCTAGCATAATGTTGTTTCAAGGTGTGACAGCTATATCTAAAAGTAGTTTCTCCTGACCTGAACACAAGCTAAAATCAATTTCTGAAGAAAGTGTAACATAACATTCCAGGCATGATTACTTAGACAGGTTTTCAATCAATGTGGGGTTCACCTTGTATGTTAAGAACAAGCTATGATTTCATGACAATATCCAATTTACAATGTCCATGAGAGGAACGTGGCTAGCACCTCCGATTCAGCATAAACTTTCAGAATGAAACCGCAATGCATGTTTTCCAAAAGCTGCAGTTGATTGAATTGGAACCTTCTTTTCTTATTCTTGACGTGTTTAGTCCAATACCTCTCATGCTAACCATCTCTCTGATTCGCCACAGTGCCAGGAAGAGACCCATCCCCTACTTCCGGCCCAGTCCTTCGTCCAGCAGTCGCTCTACCAGCGTATCCTCTTGGAGCAGCCTCTTCACAAGGAGCCGTAGCCCCAGTCCTGGCCTCTGCCTCAGTCGATCCAGGAGTAGGAGTAGGAGCCGAGGAAGAAGTAGGAGTAGGAGTTACTCCTCCTACAGGATCTACAGTCGCAGCTCGTCTTGGAACTCCATCTTTGGGAGTCGGAGTCGGAGCCGGAGTCGGAGCTATGACTCGTTGGACGGTTACAGCAAGAACAAGAACCGGCGCTGAGTTATCAACAGACTGAGTTGTCAACAGACTGAGTTGTCAACAGACTGAGGAGGAGACTGCACTATGATTCCCCAAGTCAACTGGAGAACAGCGAAAGTATGGGGAAAAATGTCATCTCTTTGCATCATTCCTTGTTAGATCCCTGAGCCAGAAACTTCAAACAAATGTTTTACCATACATTGAATTCCTTGGCAGATGAATTCCCGTCTTGAATTGAATCAGTGCTGTTCACGTTGCCCAGACAGAAACCACTGGAAATAGATTGATTGAATGTTGTCTTTGGTTCATTTTGTACATCCTCAGTGTATTTGCCATGGCCAGAGACAGTTTTTTCTTGTGACACTCTTCCTCTGACGTCCATGAGTGAAACAAAGGATGAAGGAGCACCATTCATTTTTACCCTCTGAAAAACTCTTCATTTTATAACAGCTCTTAAGTTTAATTTCTGATCTGTGATGTGCACTACAAAGGTGTTTTGGGACAATTTCAGTAGTTTTGTGAATGTGTGTATTTTCAAACGGCGTGAGAGAGTGTTTATCAGGAACATAGGAAAAGGTGTGTTGCTTCTCTGATCTCAGCTCTTCAGAAGGTAGAGCACAAACATGGCCTCCTCTGAGAAATGGAGGAGGAGGAGGAGGAGGGAGGAGGAGGAGGAGGAGGAGGAGGAGGAGGAGGAGGAGGAGGAGGAGGAGGAGGTGGTCCCGGTGGCAAACAAACTGCTTATCAGCTCAAATGCCAGATTTATTTATCTTCTGATCAAGTGGAAACCAATCGAAATGTCATTCCTTGTAAGATTATGGTGAATGATCAAGCCACTCTGCAGAAGGCCAGGACTGAGAAAGGGGTTTGTCATGAAGAAATCCAGAAAATGTCCAGGAAAGCATTATTTTCCCCCAATAACCCCTAGTGACACGGAACAATTTGGATATTTAAATTATGTCTAAATAAACACGTGGGGTAGGGGTCAAATTACAATTCAAACACTAATATTTAGGTTGTCATATTTTATTCATTCATCTTGGTGGTTATCTATTACTGTATTTATTTATGGTTGATCTATATGTGTTCTATCTGTTCTATTCCTTTGACTAAAACTTGAATAAGAGAGACTGCTTAAATGTTTTACTTTTCCGTTTGACAGAGAGGAAATTCAACATGGGATAGAATCTACTATTTTGTATAACGGTCTGACATAGCACTGTAACATAATTTGCTTGAATTGAATGTGTTTGGTATTTCAGAACCTCATCGGTCTTGTTTTGTGGTCTGTTAGCCGAAGGTCAAGGTTTTAAAAATGATATCATTTTTGTGTCATGCATATTTATAACGTGTTTACAATTATATTTCTGCATTTGTGTCACCTCTCAGTAATGGTCTATGTTAGTTTCTATGCAACACCATCATGTTACTGGGGTTCCATTGTGTCTATGATGTAATGTAATGGTCTGAATGAAGAAAGTTCCAGTTTAAACTCTACAATGGACAGTCTGAATGCCGGTCTGTTTGTGCTTTCACGCCATCTCACTGTCACCCACTGAAAGTAATGGAGTTAGCAAGAGAACAAACAGATCTGGGACCAGGCTACAATAGACAATGTAATAGCATATTGATTCACACAATACTACTTTACTTTTTTTTTTTTTATGTTACTTTATCTCAACTATTCCCCTCTTCTCTTTTGTGGGGAATGCTACTTTCTTCAGATGTCCTATAAAAAGCCACAACTGAGACTACAGCAAAAAGAGGAAAATAAACTGTCCCACCCATGACTTTTTAGCCTCAATGAATAGTCTCCTGTACTTGTTAAAGGATATATTATGTGGGTGTATAATGCACTGTTTGAATAACATTAGCATGTAGAACAACTGTTCCTTCCCGTACTGTATATCATTGAAATTGTTTTATTTCTCCATTATGTCTAATCTGTCACCCTGTAAATCTTCGTTCAGTATGTGCTCCAGGTAAGAGGGTCTGCTCTCTATGCATTGTACCGTATAATAATCTGAGGTAATTTATCTGAATGTTCAGTGACTTGTCCAAAGGTTTAGAGATATTGGGAGGAAGATGACAAGTATTTTACATAGTAATTATGCTTTTGAGGTGAACCACTCTCCCTCGTGGCCATAATATTCCATTCCATGAGGTAAAGTGTAAACTGTCAAATTAATATGAATATGTAATTACTGTGGTGTAAATATGCATCTGCACTGCATACATTAATTATATGAGGGATGTAGTATAATTCATTCAGAATTTGTGGAATAGTCAATCAAATGATCAATGCAAAATGATGCTCTGTTATGGTAAGATTTCTCTCACATGTACTGTGTCGATACATTGCCTCACTATTGTCAACTCAGCTGTACGCTCTCTGATTTTCCATCAACATTACTAGGCTATATGATGTGTTTCTATACTGGCCATTGAACTACTACTGAAAGAAAAAGAAGAGAGCCAAGAAAACATTGGGAAACTGGGGGGAAATTGAGAAATATTGGAATCTATATCAGTGGGTTTTAGAGGTCTTTGTGCTTGAACTCCCTCCCTGATCATGTTGAAAATAGAAGGTTAAATTACAAGGCGCATGATAAGACTGATGCTCCAGTGTGTTAAATGATGCATTCTCTAATGTGAACGAGCAATAATGCGGAGATGGAGAGCTAGGATGCGTTTTCCCACTGGCACACAGCATGGTGTCAGTGTGAGCTTGACTTGTTGTAATGCTTCAGCTGAAATCGGATTGTCCTCCCCTTGAACCCTTAAAATAAACCCTTATCCCTCCCCCTTTCCCATTTATTGTGAACAATTATTTATATTTACACTAGATGACTGACAGGGGGCGCTGTTTTGAAGCCACCACGCCTCCATCTTGGCACTCCCCACAGTTGTACAGAATATTCTGGAAGCTATAGAAATGCATGTATTAACATCTACATTTGTTTTTGCCATGTTTATTCTATTACAGACACCTTAATGCATACTTTTTAAATTATATTATGTGAGCTAAACAAAAATAAATAAAACATTTTCCTTAAGCGGCAATCAGCAGTAGAAACAATAACAAAGCGTTTTCCCCGCCACTGTTTTGGTAAAAAGCTGAGGGATGGGGCTGCAGAAATGTAACCACTCTCAGATTAATAGACAGAGCTATGGATGCAAGGACTGACCATCCATGATATCAACATGATAGTTTTAATCCATGTTTTACATTTACTTTGTTTACAAACATTGGAGTAAACAAGCTTATATTTTGGGTTCTGATGGAGTACGACAGTTGAACTAAGCTCATGAGGCATTTATAAGTTATATTATTCAATAATCAATGGGAAACATATCTTTCATTAATAAGTCAAAAAATGTATGTAGCAAGTGCTGATTGCTCCTTTTGAAGTATAATTCCTTTAAAGTATAATTTGTTGAACGTACTAATGTTACTGTCCCCACTACAACCAAAAAATACATTTAATTTTTTCCTTGAAATACTGTAGAATTCCATTCATTCCTATGCAGGACTGCTCCTACTGGGGAGTGCCAATATGGCCGACCGGTGGCATCAAAGCCTCTCATTGGCTAATACATAGCATCAGTAATCCAGGGTTTATATACATCATTGATTGTTATATACATACATCATTGATTGTGAGTCTAAAATCCTGAATAAAACTTTATTTCAATCACAGCCTTTAGGGTTTACTTGCTGTCTTATTTGTTTTCGAAACCTACAAAAAAGTCAGGGCTTACCTATATTGTAGGACAACGGTCGTTGCTTACTGTTGCTGCACTGTTGGGCCCTCTAGTCAAAAAATCCTATAGAAAACCCTATCGGATAGAACCCCATAGGAGTCCAATAGAACTGGTTCCAAAATCTGATAGGATGTTTCTATTGATCATAGTGTAAATGAATTTGCTGCCTTGAATCACTCCCAAACTGTGATGGTGTGTTGAAGAGGTTGAGAACCTCAGGGAATTATCAATGGTGTGAGTAGTCAAAGATATGGAGATTGTGCTCCGGAGACGCGGGAGAGAGGCTGTTCCTCAGTTTACTGGTCTTTAATCTTGATTGCAGTTTAACATAAATGTTCAGGTTTCTGTGCCATATTTAGCTGTGACATTGTCCCAAAAATATGTATTTATCCAATTGTAGTATCCATACAATGTGGTCTGAAATAACAATGACTAGAATAATTTCAACACTACGGCTTGACAGGTTGCAATAAATAAGTAGGCAGGGCGAATGAACGGGCTGCAGCAGTCACTATGCGAACTCTTTCTAGAGCACCCGGTTAAATTGAGCATAAGAGCATTTTTTTTTTTACTCTGTAAATGGTTAAACTAGTGAGAAATATATGTGTACAGTACACTATCAGCCTAAACTGAAATCTTGATTATTTTTTTATTGCGCTAATTTCCTGTAATTGGACAGTATGTGTTACTACATTACACAACCTGTTTTGACCACATCGAATTTAGTAGAGGTGACACAAAATCCTATAGGATTCTATTGGAAAAATCACTAATCCTAAAGGTTTTTTGACTATGGCAAACTGCACAGACACACCGTAAATACATGTCATACATACTGAAGAACCTGACTCATTAGTTATATTGTTTTATCCGTATGGTGACATCAGTGTGTTTGCCCCTTGCTCTCCCTCAGCCTCCTAGTCTCCACCTATCACCCAGGCTGCACTTGAAGCCATGCGTTATTTTCTATTAAAAAGATAATGAGTCACCGGGGTGCAGGGTAGGGATGGTTTCAACGGACAAGACTGTTGGACTAGTGACACCATCCCAACTAATGGCTAAACTTGGACCGAGAGGGAGGGGCTTCTTCTGTCAGCTGTTGTGCCCCGAGGCACCGCGCACTTTCTGGACATTGTTGTGCACGCTCACCGTCAGGGAAAACGGTAGCCACATAAAACGGTCGTCCAGTCGATATAAGGTCAGTTCAACTCATAGAACGTATTCAACTTCGAGGATACTAAGGGAAGGGGTCGTCA